TACGTTTGTGTGTTTTTCAGCCATGTACTGTAAGGCATCACTGGGTCCACAGGAGGCGGCAGGACGGGAAGTGCAGACAATGCGGAAAGGTCCGTTACAGTTTCATGCCAGAGAAATATCAATTCGATTGTACAGCTATTTAATGTCTCGTTGTATTGTATTGTATTGTTCTGCATACAGTCATGGTTTCTTCTTTCCTCAGGGTTTCCAGCAGAAGTTCTTCCACAATAAAGACATCGTGGCCATCAGTTGCTCTTGGTGCAAACAGGCGGTAAATGGATCTGCTGATCTGTTTATGTAATAGAAAGACCATAGCAAGAGCAATGAAGTTAACGGTTCTGTGTATGCTTTGCAGTACCATAATAAGGTGACCTGCTTCATGCTACAGCACATAGAAGAGACCTGCACTCTCGGTGCGCACGCTGCTGTTATAGTACCTCCTACCTGGATCATCCGAGTGCGCAGACAGCAGGTGCAGACTCAGCCTTCTCCTCGAGACCTTACTGTTCTGCCTGTTACATTTATGACATAGAACATCTGGTTCAGCATTGAGAATTTTCTCGTTAGCTCAGCATGCGTTTTTCCAATTTGCTTTCTTATAGAGTTCAGCATAAAACGCAATAAGACCTGCAGCATACTCAAATAAATCATATAACATATTCCGAAGACCACGACTATGCCAAAAATTCGAGCTTTATTGCAATATTACAGCTGGAGAGATATACACATACAGAGTACATATACCTCCAGTCATCTCGCTCCAGCAAGACAGGAGAACCGTTTATATATACTGTATACTGGTTCCAGAGACAGTTACACAAGCTCACAACCCCTCACTCAGCATCCTTCCACATTAACACACACAAACACACTAAAGTCCACTCTGATTCAACACCCTTCCATTGTCAAAACACACACCAAACGGCACACGTATACACACTAACCCAGCTATCACCATCACCAATTATCACCAGTTATTACCATTTGGTAAAACAAATATATGGGAAATAGTTCCACAAATTTCCCATTGGATCATTGTAAGCAGTGACAATGATTAAGTTCGATCATTTAACTCTCATGTAGATAAGTGCATTGTCCGGGAGCAAGAAGATGTTTGTGAATCCCATACGCAACTATGATGATCATTACGAGGCGTTACAGACATTGTTCTCTTCAGATAGTTCAGAATGTCGCCTAAAACCCAATTTTACTTCCTTCAGGCTTCCCTAAAGTCTAGTAAAAGGAGAAAAAAGGGATCTCTGAAAAGCAAGGCCAGCAAGAAAGGGTCAGAGGTGAGTCGTTCAGTTTCACTATGCTGTAAGATGAACGCTGTGATTAACACGCCGCTTAACGAAGTGAACAGCATTGGACGCGTTTTTACGAAGCTACTACGTGCTCGAATAGCAGTTCTTCACTTTTAACCCTTGTGCTAGGACGGCAAATGGAAACACTTCATAGTCAAGCCGATTCCTTCCCAGCTCATGAAGCCGTTGCTTGTGTTTGTGAATCCAAAGAGTGGTGGAAATCAGGTGAGTACAAGCCTTTAAAAAAAAAACATTTTTACCCATCATATCACACGTAAACAAGCCTTTTAACAAATATTTCTGATTTGGTCTTTTTATTAGGGAACGAAAATTATTCGGTCTTTCTTGTGGTACCTAAACCCACGACAAGTGTTTGATCTCACTCAGGGAGGGCCCAGAGAGGGGTAAGTACTGAAACGTTGGTCGTTCCATTGCGTTCAGTTTGACACTGGGATCTTTACACGTTTAACTTCCCCGTTCCGTTGTGCTCGTTTTCAAGGTTAGAAATGTACCGCAAAGTTCCCAACCTGCGCATCCTGGTATGTGGAGGAGATGGAACGGTGAGTATAATTTGTCAGTTATGTGGATCTTCCGAGCAGCTTTCTTGTTTAGACGAAGCAATACTGGTAATGTTGCATACATCATTCAGTGTAATCTTAATAATAGTTTATTTAGCTAGAGCTGACTTTCTGTTAAATGTCAAGTCAGATGTATGAAGGCTGAGAAGATGAATGTTGAATATGCAGGTTGGCTGGATCCTGTCTGTGCTGGATGAGCTGGAATTGAATCCTCAGCCTGCTGTTGCTGTCCTCCCACTTGGCACGGGCAACGACCTGGCCAGGACACTCAACTGGGGAGGAGTAAGAAACACATAATGCTCTAATATGTTAATGATCACGTATACATTACAGCACAGTGAAATTCCTTTCTTCGCATACCCCATGTTAGGAAGTTGGGGTCAGAAGGGTCAGCCATGATACAGCGCCCCTGGAGCAGAGATGGTTAAGAGCCTTATTCAAGGGCCCAACAGTGGCAGCGCTGGGGCTTGAACCCCCGACCTTCCGATCAGTAACCCAGAGCTTTAACTGCCCCATGTTGTTGAAATAATTTGGCTAGCAGTGGCTAGTGTAGGTTAGTGTATGTACCTGGTTTGCTCAATAGTTTTTCTTCAGTAGTTTCTTCCTGTTTGACGGTATTTCTGGCATAAGGATTAGTAAGAAGAAGGCATAGACTTGTTGGTGGTGGAGGCCGAGGTCTTTTTGTTGCTCTCCTCAGTCAGTCGAAATGGATCATCTTAATCAGTTCGACAGTTTTAGTGGGTTTGTCTTCCCCAGTGTTGGCGTTATTGTTGTCATAAAAGAATGATGAAGCTCAAACTCCACACTCTACAGTATTTGTTGATTTATCTGTGTGATATGCTCAGGGCTACACGGACGAGCCAGTGTCTAAAATACTGTCTCATGTGGAGGATGGGAACATTGTGCAGCTGGACCGCTGGAACCTCAGTGTGGAGCCCAATCCAGAGGCCGGCGAAGAAGAGAAAGACGAACACCAGACAGACAAGGTCAGCTCATGCTCCCAGCACAAAAACGCCTCTGACTCTCACTCCTCTTCTTAGCAAGTGAATTTTTATTTATTCATTTACATATTTACTAAATTCAAAATTCTCATCTTATATTTGGTTTGTTGTAATCACATAACAGGGAATAGTAGATACATTTGACTATATTTAAGGTATTTTCACTTGCGAAAGTGTCATTTTTTTTTGCATTTGTGAAGACAAAATTGCAATACTACGTAATATTAAATGATTGAACTAAACTGAAAAAAAGTCTACCGTGTCTGAATCTCTCTGCCAAACTCATATTTTCTGTTTATACATTTAGCTTCCCATTGATGTCTTTAACAACTACTTCAGCTTGGGTTTCGATGCGCATGTAACCTTAGAGTTCCACGAATCCCGAGGTATTTGCGTAATGGCGTAGTCTCGGTTGCCAAAAACCAAAACATTTTTAAAGACATTTTCTGATCAAGTATAACAACCTGTTTTGGTTTTCCTCAGAGGCCAAACCTGAAAAATTCAACAGCCGTCTTCGGAATAAGATGTTCTACGCGGGGGTGAGTGTATCGCGTCGTGGTTTAGAGGTATCCCTGTGTACCTTCTTACATGTGATCTGATTTTCCTGCTTTCTTCCAGACTGCATTCTCGGACTTCCTCATGGGCAGCGCTAAAGACTTGTCTAAGCACATCAGAGTGGTGGTGAGTCGAATAATGGAGTGATTTTCTCTCACATTCATATAGTCGAGAACAAAATGTCAAAGGAATACGCATGCGAAACATGGAAGGATGCTAGATTTTGTTTAGAGATAGACAGCAATTCCTGCATGGCATGCGCTCGTTCCAGTATACTCTGTCACTTATTTGTCTGTTGTTGGATATATCCAGTGTGATGGAATGGACCTCACTTGTAAAGTTCAGGAGATGAAGCTACAGTGTTTGCTCTTCCTGAACATTCCGAGGTAACATTTCCATATCCTGTGTTTGGTTTATTGACTAGTGAGCAACATGTAGCACATGTATAGTTTCTGAGTCTAATGCTGAGCCTGATATCATGAGAAGTATAAATAATGTTTTTTTAAATTATTTTTTATTTTATAGATATTGTGCTGGTACAATGCCATGGGGCAACCCAAGTGACCACAATGACTTTGGGCCTCAGAGGCACGATGATGGCTACATAGAGGTTATTGGATTCACCATGACTTCTCTGGTAAATTAATCACTGCATACCTACATCAAGGGTTATATATGCTTCTGCTATTTCCAGTGGTTATTTGAGAGGTCATATATGGGCAAATTGTAATATAAACTAAATCAAACACGTTCTGTAAGAAAGAATATGAATAAAACATGCATCATGCAGCTGTGTACACAAACACAAACCACTGGATGGCGTTGAGATGAAGGTATTGGTGTTTATTATTAATGAGTCTTTCTACGTTCGATAAAGAGGATCAGTGGACATTATGAAAGTAATCCGGTGATGTCTGTGTACGCATCAGCATACGGAAAATCACATAAACAACGTGAAATTATCCACGTTTCATTCATATTCTTTCTTATAGAGCGTGTTTGATTTAGTTTACCCTTACGTGTTAATTAATACATTGACTAACAAACGTACTAACACACGTTGTAGTTAAGGTTAGCTCTTCACTCGTTCGGGATTAGTACACGCCTTCACTCATGATTAGTTCATGTTTAAGTAAGTATTATTTCAGGTGTTAGTGCAGGAATATTGTAAAGTGTTACCTTGTAATTAAATTCACTGCATGAACGTGCTGCTTATCCTTGGTTTGGGTATTAAGACAGGGTGTTGTGGATGGTATTGTAGGCCACGCTGCAGGTAGGAGGCCACGGCGAGAGGCTACATCAGTGCCAGGAGGTGACTCTCACCACCTTTAAGCCAATTCCTGTGCAGGTGGATGGGGAGCCGTGCAGACTGGCTCCATCCGTTATCCACATCACGCTCAGGAACCAGGCCAACATGCTGCAGAAGACCAAGAGGAGAATCTCCCTCCCACAGCTCAATGAGTGAGTCACACAGAAACACCAGCCTTCTCCTTTATTATTTCAATTAAAGGAAAACCATAAACATTTGAATATTTTCAGCTTCCTTGAAATGGATTTATTTGGGCAGTGGCGGCTCAGTGGTTAAGACGTTGGTCTACTGCTCAGAAAGTCGTGAGTTCAAACCCCAACACTGCCAAGCTGCCACTGTTGGCCCCTTGAGCAAGGCCCTTAACCCTCAGTTGCTCAGATGTATGAGTGAGATAAATGTAGGTCGCTCTGGTGAAGGGCGTCTACCAAATACCATAAATGTAATGCAATTTGCCTCTTAAACGATGATCCCAGTGGTCAAATGACCTACGAGTCCTATTGTTAAAATCTATTTCTGTAATTTGAAGCATTTTATGTCTATAATGTACGGAATTAGCAAATATCACAGTACATTTTTCACCTTTTTAAGGACAGTCTTGTATTAAGCCGTGTGTGTGTGTGTGTGCTCGTAGTCAGCAGCCCATCTCTGAGCAGCTGCATATCCAAGTGAGCCGAATCAGCATGCGTGACTATGAAGCTTTACACTATGACAAAGATCAGCTCAAAAAAGCCTGTAAGTGCTACATTTGATACAGACACATGTTAACTTTAACACTTTGAACTCTCTAACAGAGTAGCCTCCATTATTGTTTTTTTGTTTTCTTTTTTGAGAAGAAGTACACATCAGATTCTCTTGGGTTTTTTTTTCCCAGCGATTCCTCTGGGAATTATTACTATCCGGGCAGACAGCGATTTGGAGACTTGTCGGCTGCACATCGAGAGGCTTCATGAGGTACGTTTGGATTTGGGAATAACGATAATGAGTCTTTATTGATCACATATACATTAGAGCACAGTGAAACTCTTTTCTTCACATACACAAGCATGTTAGGAAGTTGGGGTCAGAGTGCAGGGTCAGCCATGATACAGCACCCATGGAGCAGAGAGGGCCAAGGGCCTTGCTCAAGGGCCCGACAGTGGCATCCCGGCAGCCCGAACCCCCGACCTTCCGATCAGTAACCGAGCCTTAACCGCCACGCCACCACTGCCCCACTCAAATGCACATCTGAGTGTAGATCTGTCCACTCATTTGTGATGTTTACATCAAGTTCTTTAACGAAAGGCCAGAATTTACATGATCCTGTTTGAAACGTTTGGACGTTTGAAACGTAACGATGCCATAGCCGTCAAAGGGTCGAGATCGATGGACTTCGTCTCTATCGTTCTCACCAATTGATCAGAATGACACTCGGCAATCGTAACTGTTAGTTGTATACAAAACAGGGCGTTTAATGCTCACCTCAGTTTGAAATGGTACAGTGGCTAGATTTTGGAGGAACTCAAAACAACTAAATGGTGGAAAACTAGAACCAAAGAACTGGTGTTAGTGTAGTTACTGCTGTTTGTTTGTACACAGTGCTTTGTTTGTATTTAGTTACCAAAGAACAACCATCTGACCTTATAACTATATTAATTAACAAATGAACAAAAATGTGATTAGTGTTATGATTCTAATATGAGTCATTATTCATTTTAAGGTAAAGTCAGACACTATATATAGTAACTATGAGTAATTATACTCAATTAGAGAGTTGCTAAGAGTTGCTCTTTATATATATAATTTTTTTTTTCAGGAGGAGGTTGGTGTGAATTCGGACACAGCAACCATACCAAAGCTCTCGCCAAAATGGTGCTTCCTAGACTGTAAGTGAAATTCATGAGCTGTAAATATCAGTTAGTGTCTTATATGTAATTTTTTTTTTTATGCCATCTGTTTTTCTTTCACAGCCACAACTGCGGATCGTTTCTACAGGATAGACCGTGCTCAGGTATTTATTTTTGAGGGTTTAGCATATACTGACAGTGTGTAGGTACATTTTTAATTCTGCTCTTTGCCTTTTCAATTGGCATATTTCTGCCTTTTATGTTGTTTGTTCCAGGAGCATCTGAACTATGTGACTGAGATCTCACAGAATGAGCTTTTTATCCTGGACCCTGAGCTGGTCACTAAGGAAACGGTGGGCACATCTACTGGAATGCCAGAAACCGTAGACACACTGGGAAAGAACTCTGAGCAGATTGGCTTCCCAGCATGCCCTGCAGCATCTCCACCACTCTATAGGTAAAAATTCAGGTTTTTCTGCTTGTGCTTTATTCAAAGTAAAAATCTGCCTATAATAAGGTTGCTGATTTCACCCTAGAGCTTGATGACTATTCTGCAAAATCAAAAAAAAAAGAAAAGAAAAAAAAAAAGCTAGAGTTAATGGCACATTATGCTGCTCTGCCTTTTGATTCACATAACAAGTATATTTTGATTCACATGTTGATTCACAAGTATATTTTGATTCACATTTTGATTCCCGTAAGTATATTTTGACTCAGATAAGTATATTTTGATTCACAAGTATATTTGATTCAAATTTTGATTCCCGTAAGTATATTTTGATTCAGATAAGTATATTTTGAGTCACATTTTGATTCACAAATATATTTTGATTCAGATAAGTATATTTTGATACACATTTTGATTCACAAATATATATTTTGATTCAGATAAGTATTTTTGATTCACAAGTATATTTTGAGTCCCATTTTGATTCACAAGTATATTTTGAGTCACATTTTGATTCATAAATATATTTTGATTCACATTTTGATTCACATAAGTATATTTTGATTCACATAAGTATATGTTATGGTGTAACTTGCTAATCTCCTGAAGCAGCATACACCATCACAATAAGAATCAAACCTACTGTTAGTTTCAGCTATTTGAAAATTTAATTTGTCTTGAATAGACTGCTATTATGACCGCTACATTTAAATGTGTTGTGAAGCCAGATTAAAAATGTAAGCACTTATGTATATATTAGTATATACTTTAAATCTTGTTAAATCTTTCAAATGGAAAGAAGATTTTGGACTCAAAATAAAAAGAGGATTCTTTTTTCCTCACACCCATTGCCATTATTTTATTAGCGTACACTATATACGGCCCTCCATATCAGCACTGGTATTCTATTATCGTTTTCTACATTGTATTCTACATTATTGCTATAGGTTTCTACATTGTATTCTACATTATTGCTATTGGTTTCTACATTGTATTCTACATTATTGCTATTGGTTTCTACATTGTAATCTACATTTCTTGCAGGGTAAATGAAGCTCAAACTGCAGCTCAGAAAAAACGCATGTCCTGTGATGTCACCGATGCAGAGGGACAGGCTGATTGTGCACTGGCATCCACAAACACTGACATTTGCAAGTGAGAGTTTGACTGAAAGGGGTGTAAATTACTAGTCTGAGTGACAGTCCAAATTATGTGCCAACTGTATTTGAAAAATTGGATCGGCTCTGTGCTGCCCCCCAAAGAGGAATTTAATCCTGTACCACAACACTGGGGCTTCAGAGCTGCTTCCAGAACTGGAAACGCAGCATGTAATTCTCTCACTCGGAAAAATAGAAACGTGTCCCAACATAAATGCTAAGAAAAAGAGATTTGTACTGAAATGAAGGTACTTCTTTGGTCTATTTTATTGCAAAGGACAGGAGAAAGTATTGTGAGCTCATGATCAGTGGGTTGCTTTTATACATCACTGATTCACACACTCCTTCAAATATGGCAAGGTTTTAATGAATATGTTGAAAATGCTCCCTGACTAAATATTTCTTCCTCTCGTACTCACAGATCGGACGACGTGGTCCAGAATGAAATCGATAAAGGTAAAATCAAACCAATTTCAAGATCGGGTTAACATTTAGAAATTTGGTGTAATCACACTTTTAGTTTTAACAGTGAAATCGTTGGTGTTGTTGCTTATAAGACTGCAGGCTGGTGGAAAGCTAATCACCTCCAACTCCCCCCTTTTTTTTTTACATATATAGAGACTATGAAGATGCTAATGAAAAGTGTGAAGTCAGATAATTTTAAAAAGGTGAGGAAATCATTCACATGTATATATTTTGTCCCCGTTATTGACTGGGACACTGTGACGCTGACCAGCCTGTTCATGAAGATGAATGAACGTTGAGGATTTTGCTCTAGAGATGGCACGGTACCACTTTTTCTTTTTCCAATACCGGTACTGAAAATATGAGTATCAGCTGACACAGATACCCATTCGATATTGTTTTCTTTAAAAACTACCAAGCTTTAAAATGCTATTTTGTTAACTGAAACACTTCACAGTTAAATCTATTTCCAATCTGTTACTGTTCCAAATATAATTCAAATCTCTTACAGTTCCAAATCCAGTTCAAATCTCTTACAGTTCCAAATCCATTTCCAATCTCTTACAGTTCCAAATATATCTATCTCTTTCACATCCGAATCCATTTCCAATCTCTTTCAGTTCCAAATCCATTTCCAATCTCTTACAGTTCCAAATCCATTTCCAATCTCTTACAGTTCCAAATCCATTTCCAATCTCTTTCAGTTCCAAATCCATTTCCAATCTCTTACAGTTCCAAATCCATTACAGTTCCAAATTGAATTCTAATCTCTTACATTTTCAAATCCATTTCCAATCTGCTACAGTTCCAAATCATACTCCAAAGCCATTTGTTACATACTCCTGCAGTCCTTAATGATCCTTTTTTATTTTGAACTGGTATCAATACCCATACTAGATATCAGATCAGTGCCATCCATATTTTGCTTGGTTTCGTACAAATAAGCTCTGATGTCTTATTTTCGCAGCTTGTAGAGCTACACAAAGAAGGAGCCAATCTTTCAGTATATGATGCATTGGGCTGTACACTTCTCCACTATGCTGTAGATAATGGCAACAAGGAAATGGTCAGATACATCATAGATAATGGTACAGTGACAAAAGAGTTATCCATTCTGTAAATTAATGACTTAGTAGTCACTAGTGCTGACACATTTGTTTCTTTCTTTTCTTGGTGAGCAGCTCCACTGAATATCCTGGATGTTGCAGAAAAAGAGACGTAAGTAAAACCTTAATGGAACTATATATAGAGATAGATAGATAGATAGATAGATAGATAGATAGATAGATAGATAGATAGATAGATAGATAGATAGATAGAGAGCGAGAGAGGTTTTTTTTAAACTTATAGAAACCTGTCTATTCTGTATTGTTGCATAATCCATGTTACCAAGCATCATCATTTGCAAATTTATGCAGTTATATTTTATATCTT